CTTGTCATGGATAAATATTGATGCTTTTCCGCGTATTGCTTCTCAGTTTGAGTTCCTCAACATGGAATTCTGTTCACTCTTTAAAATTCAGCTCGGGCCGGGCGCGGTGGCTCACGCCTGTAATCCCAGCACTTTGGGAGGCCGAGGCGGGTGGATCACGAGGTCAAGAGATCGAGACCATCCTGGTCAACATGGTGAAACCCCGTCTCTACTAAAACTACAAAAAATCAGCTGGGCATGGTGGCGCATACCTGTAATCCCAGCTACTCAGGAGGCTGAGGCAGGAGAATTGCCTGAACCCAGGAGGCGGAGGTTGCGGTGAGCCGAGATTGCGCCATTGCACTCCAGCCTGGGTAACAAGAGCGAAACTCCGTCTCAAAAAAAAAAAAAAAAAAAAAAAAAAAAATTCAGCTCGAATTAATGAAACCAGATATAGTTATTATATGTCTTACTATGCACTTTGTTGAAATCCTGCATTTCTCATGAAGTTTTCCTTGATTAACTCAGACAAATGTGAACCCTAATCTCCAGCGCTTAACTCAGTGTCTGGCACACGCCCTTGTTGGAGCTCAGAAAATGATACCCCAAAGTATGGCGCTTTGGCATGCTGAGTACTTTAGTCAATGGGGGTTTGAACCAGAGCGACTCCATTTTGAATATGGGCTAGGTAAAATAAGGCTGAAACCTTCTAGGCTGCATTCCCAGGAGGATAAGCATTCTAAGTCAGGATGAGATAGGAGGTCAGCACAAGATATATGTCACAGAGACCTTGCTGGTAAAAGGATGTGGTAAAGAAGTAGACCAGGCAGGCCATGGTGGCTCATACCTGTAACCCCATCACTTTGGGAGGCCGAGGAAAGTGGATCACCTGAGGTTAGGAGTTCAAGACCAGCCTGGCCAACATGGTAAAACCTCATCTCTACTAAAAATACAAAAATTAGCTGGGCATGGTGGCGTGTGCCTGTAATCCCAGCTAATCCAGAGGCTGAGGCAGGAGAATTGCTTGAACTGGGGAGGTGGAAGTTGCAGTGAGCCAAGATTGCACCACTGCACTCCAGCTTGGGCTACAGAGCGAGATCCCTCAAAAAAAAGTGACCTCTGGTTGTTGTCACTGCTCATTATATACTAATTATAATATATTAGCATGCCAAGAGACACTCCCACCAGTGCCGCAACAGTTTACAAATGCTAGGGCTACGTTAGGAAGTTACCCAATGGTCTAAAAAAAGGAGAAACCTGGCCAGGTGGATCACGAGGTCAGGAGTTCAAGACCAGCCTGGCCAACATGGTGAAATCCTGTCTCCACTAAAAATACAAAAATCTGCTGGGCATGGTGATGCGTGCCTGTAATCCCAGCCTCCGGAGGCTGAGGCAGAAGAATTGCTTGAACTGGGACCCAAGAGGTGGAGGTTGCAGTGAGCCGAGATCGTGCTACTCTACTCTAGCCTGGTGACAGAGCAAGACTCCGTCTCAAAAAAAAAAAAAAAAAAAAAAAGGAGAAACTCTCAGTTCCGGGAACTGCCCACCCATTTCCTGAAAAACTCTGGGAACTGACCACCCTTTTCCTGGAAAACTCACGAATAATCTACCCCTTATTTAGCATGTAATCAGGAGATGACTATAAAAGTGGTCAGCCAGCAGCCATAGACTGCTCTATGGAGTAGCCATTCTTTTATTCCTTTACTTTCTTGGTAAACTTGCTTTCACTTTACTCTATGGACTTACCCCAAATTCTTTCTTGTGTGAGGTTCAAGAACCTTCTTTTGGGGTTGGGATCGGGCCCCTTTCTGGTAACACTTAGTGTTTTTTTTTCCTTTTTTTTTTTTTTTTGAGACAAGGTCTCACTCTTGCCCAAACTAGAGTGCAATGGCTGATTGCTTGTGGTTCACTGCAGCCTCAATCTCCTGTCTCAAGCTGTTTTTCCACCTCAGCCTCCCAAGTGGCTAGGACTATAGATGCACACCACCACACCTGGCTGATTAAAAAAAAAATCTTTTGTAGGGATGAGGTTTCATCACATCGCCCAGGCTGGTCTTGAACTCCTGGACTCAAGTGATCGCCCTGCTTCAGTTTCCCAAAGTGCTATGATTACAGGAGTGAGCCACTGTACCTTGCCCCCATGCTGAGTACTTTGAACTAAAGGAGATTGGAAAGCCTGAGAAGCAAAGTCTCTGACTAAACTTCTCCTGTCCTGCTGTGTCCCATCCCTCTTCCTCACCCTAAGCTAGTCAAAGAAACTAGAACTCCTCTTCCCCCAAGCAAGTCATGAAACCAAGAAAGATCACTCTCCCCCTTCTCCTTTGAAGACTCTTATTCCAAATGTCTGCTCTATACCTGGGTAGAAGGAATGCTACGCAGAGACGTCAAGAAGAATCTGAACAGACAGGCCTTGCTGGGGTTCCACACTCAGTCTATTAGTACTAGTTCATTCTCTTTTTGTGCAATCACATTTCTACATGGATGTCCACTCTTCATTGAATCTAAGCATACCAATGGACAGCTTTCCCTGAGTATTTATTTCTGAAGGCTCCTGTGTCACATAAGACTTAGATTACATTTATTATGACTTTCTTTTGTTAACCTGACTTTTGTTGTAGAAGTGTTGGCCATGACCCTTATGATGGGTGAGGAAAGGTATGGAGTACAGTGGTGTGATCATGGTTCACTGCAGCCTTGACCTCCCGGGCTCAAGTGATCCACTTTAGCCTCCCGAGTAGCTGGGACTACAGGTGTGCTGTAGGGGCAGGGTCTCGCTGCTGATCTCAAACTCCTGGGCTCAAGTGATCCTCCCACTTCGCTGGGATAACAGGTGTGAGCCACTCTGCTGGACTTGTGATAGTTTTTAATTTAAAATACAGTTTACAGTGTATTTCATTATTTAATCCGTTCCTTATCTCTAAGATTGCCTTCGAGGTTTAAAATGTTTGAGGTTAATAACTTATATTGTACATGCCTCTGAAGGTATCTGTAAATAATAAAGTCCCATGTTATTTTTATTTTTGCATTCCCTTGAGGTAACATTTTATATAACAGCTGTCCAAAGGCCTAAAGCAGAGGATGTAATACTGGGTACTAATGGTGTATGAAGGCTTTCTCAAATGGGAAGTGACCATGGAGGCTTTGTTTTCGGGCAGGCAGTTCTATCCTCATTTCCCTTGAGTAGAAGCATCCTTAAAATTGACCTGCCTGAAAGTGTGTTGTTGGGTCAGGGTGTAATGTGGGCTCTTTTCCAGTCTCCTTTATTCCAATGACATCTTCCCTATTTTACAAAAGAAAGATGGATGCAACAAACCACCATGGAATGTGTATACCATGGAATTCTGCACAATCTGCACATGTACCCCAGAATTTATAATTAAAAAAATAAATGCATACTTCTTCCTCATGCTAAGTCTTAGTAAGGTGCAATACCCAGGTATGCAAAAACCCCCAGGACACCAAAGAAAGGGACAATTGGCTGGTGAATGAGAATGAGTTACACCTTCTTTCACAAGTCAGGTGGTTTTCAGTTACTTGCTTTCAACAAGTAGAATGAGAACCTAATCAGAGTTGTCAGCTGATAGATCATTAAAGGTATTTTTTCTTTGTTAGATCTTTATGCGATTTTTGGGCATATAATTTGAAAAGCATTCAAAGAATTGAGTGGCATTACTATAACACAACTCCATTCATTCTCATCTGCTTTTTTATGTGAACAAGTTTTCTTAGCACTTATATCCATGGAATTGGAAACTTGGAATAGAACTGATGCTGAACTGTTTCTCAGAAAAATCCATCCATTGAAGGTCATAACGTATATTAGAAAAAAAGTCCACCCAAGTTCATTTCTGCAAGATACATTGACAATAAAATTTTGCTTTTGTGTTTAGTACTTACTTACCAATATTTGAAATAGATGTGATCAGTTGAAATAGGCGCTTTATGATCACGGAAAATGTAAAAAACAACTCACATACTTCAATTTATGCACACATTTTTATTACAAGGAAATGTGTTAAGATGATCAAAATGCAGTTCAAATATAAAATATATTATTAGGATAAAATTCTAGAGGGGATATGGAACGTCAATATGAGTTCCAGAATACAATATTTGGAAATTTTCCAAGTATAAAAGAGACTATTGTTAAAAAATTGATACTATTGGGTATTAAATCTCTACAATATTTAGAATCCATTGGCTATACAGTATTTAAAAAATGCGACAGTTGAAATATTTCTAATAAGCCGGAAGAAATGTAGCTGTCATTCTAAACTGTGTAAGAACATACACAGATTTACAAAATTGTTTTAGAAAGCTCTTGAACTAAAAAGTTTGAGGACCTTGAACCAAGATGTTTGCTCTGAGTTGAGGGTGTCAACATCCCCACGGGTATTCAAGCATAGGGTGAATTAAGACCTGCCGCCCTATGTTGCACATATAAATTCAGTACCTTGCACCATAGTGTTTATTTTTGCCCATTTTTTAAACACCTCTCTTCGTAGACTGTAGGCTCCTTCCATTCCTGGCTCAGCGCCTGTACAGTGGGGACAATCCCCAAACACCCCCGGAATGAATGAGTTCATCGTGAGACCTCGGAACGCTATTAAAATCCCCGGCCAGCGTTGGAGTTTTCGTTCCGCGTGTTCCTGGGCTTCGAAGCCCGGCAGGGCGTGGGAAGGCCCCGAGGAAACGCTGAGCACTCGCCGGTGCCGGAGCCCCGGCAGGGGCCAGCGCCGAGCGGGGGCGCGGGCGCAGAACTCGCGGTCGGGGGCGGTGCCGCCTCGTGCCGCCGCGCAGGCGCGCAGTCGTCTCCGCGTGAGTGCGCGTAGTCGCGCGCCTGTCCCCGCGCGGGCTCCGTAGCGCGTGTACAGGCTGACGCAGCTCGGGGGCCCTCCTCCTGCTCTGCAGCGGCTTGGCGGAGTTTTGGGCGTTTGGGAGGGGGCGAGGGAGCGAGAGTCGAAAGAGGGAGGCGGCGGCGACGGGGAGGAGGAGGAGGAGGAGGAGGAGCAGGCGCCGCCATGGCCGCCGCTATCACCGACATGGCCGACCTGGAGGAGCTCTCCCGCCTGAGCCCTCTGCCCCCCGGCAGCCCTGGTTCGGCGGCTCGGGACCGGGCTGAGCCCCCCGAGGAGGAGGAGGAAGAGGAGGAGGAGGAAGAGGAGGCGGAGGCCGAGGCGGTGGCGGCGCTGCTGCTGAACGGCGGCAGCGGTGGGGGCGGCGGAGGCGGCGGCGGAGTTGGGGGCGGCGAGGCGGAGACGATGTCGGAGCCGAGCCCCGAGAGCGCCAGCCAGGCCGGGGAGGACGAGGACGACGAGGAGGACGACGAGGAGGAGGAGGATGAGAGCAGCAGCAGCGGCGGGGGTGAGGAGGAGAGTAGCGCCGAGAGCCTGGTGGGCAGCAGCGGCGGGAGTAGCAGCGACGAGACCCGCTCGCTGAGCCCCGGCGCCGCCAGCAGCAGCAGCGGGGATGGGGACGGCAAGGAGGGCCTGGAGGAGCCCAAGGGACCACGGGGCAGCCAGGGCGGCGGCGGGGGCGGCAGCAGTAGCAGCAGCGTCGTCTCCAGCGGCGGCGACGAGGGCTACGGGACCGGGGGAGGCGGAAGCAGCGCGACCTCCGGGGGCCGGCGAGGCAGCTTGGAGATGTCGTCGGATGGGGAACCCCTGAGCCGCATGGACTCGGAGGACAGGTCAGTGCTCTGCAGCGTTTCCCCTTCCCTTCCTCCTCTTGAACTCCCGGGCCCCTTCGAGGGGGACCAAGGGGACTTTTTGCCGTGATCCCCCCTGCTCCCCGAATCCTCGGCCCCTCCCCCAGGCTCTCAACTCGGAAATCTTTCGCCGCCGCCGCCGCGCCCCTCTCGCAGCGGATCGCGGCTTCCAACTCTCAAACCATTCCCCCCAACTCTCCTTTCCCCGCCCTCTTTCCCCTCGGCGCTGCGCTCCTCACGGATCTCTGGACGGCTCTAACTCGGAAACAGTCCCCAAACGGGCCCAGATCCTCTGGCGGAGCAGAAGAGGGCCTTGATGTACGCACGTCGGTACTCAAGGTTAGCTTCATCCAACCGTGTTCGGAAACACTTGTCAGAACTATAATTGACAAGTGTTTCCAATATGGCTGGTCTCGCCTGGATTTAACAGAACTTCCTTGTCCAGAGAGGAGACCCCAGCTATCACTTTTCTCTACTTAAACAAAAAAGGACTATTCTTTTATATTAAATCATTGCCTCCCAAATCCGTCATTTGTAGTCAGTCATGTGGTCTCTAACGTGATTTTAACAATCTTTTCTATTTGTTTTGCGAGCATATCTGGGAGAAAGTTTTAAACACGTATAAATTGTTGTGATAGTGAATTGATGGTCTTTTAAGATAACTTTGCGGAATCAGAAAGTTGGAATCGTAACAAAGTAGTCTTGAAGGTATAGCGTAGTTTGCGGCTTTATAGTAAAGCTTAAACGTTTGAGTCATGATTTTAAATGATAATGTTTAAAGCCATGCATTGGAGAGGTCTCCGAAGGAATAAGGAATTGTTTTTCTTACTAAAGCTTGTTAGAAGTAAGTGGAGAGTGACAAAAATGAGCAGTTTTTTTAAGAACATTTAAAAAGTGTGACAGTATATGTTTAAATTGTCGTATCATTACTTTTGATCACTTTGGGCTGGCTGGGTTTTAATGTACTTCTTAAAAAACAAGACTCGCATCATGCATATTATGCCACTTCTAAAATGTATTAGCATTTATTTTGACCATCTGCTTATGTTTTGACCATCAGATTTTTTTTTTTATACATGGTCCCTGGAAAAGCATAGCAATGGAAATTTTAGTGGTATATAGTGATTTTTATTTAAGAGTTTAATGTTGTGAAGTTCTAGGAATTCTAATTAATTGATTAAAAATGAACACTTTAGTTATGCTACAAGTAATAAAGAGTCCTGTATAATTTGACAATCCTAGCATTAGATTCTGTTTGACATTAACGTCTAGTTAAGAAAATGTCTTGGAGTAAAGTAGACTGTACAAACTTCAGAAAAATTGTGTTGAGGCCGGGCGCGGTGGCTCATGCCTGTAATCTTTGGGAGGCTGAGGTGGGCGGATCACCCGAGGTCGGGAGTTCAAGACCAGCCTGACCAAAGTAGAGAAACCTGTATCTACTAAAAATACAAGGTTAGCCAGGCGTGGTGGTACGTGCCTGTAATGAATGCCAGCTACTCGGGAGGCTGAGGCAGGAGAATCTCTTGAACCGGGACCTGGGAGGCAGACGTTGCAGTGAGCCGAAATCACGGCACTGCACTCCAGCCTGGGGACGGAGAGAGACTCCATCTCAAAACAAAACAAAACAAAACAAAAAAAGAAAAACAATTGTGCTGAACTGTGTAGGCATGGGTAGGAGGGAGAATGTCTTCAAGAAAATTAAAAATTAATGTAAACTCCACTGTGAAGCATGTGCTGTTTTCCACCTCTAATACCATTACATATCTGAAAGTTGACGTTAGTTTATACAATCAGTATCTACCACATTTTTCATGTACTCAAGTATACATATGTGCTTGCCTAGCATTGTGCAGTTTAAATGTCTTCCATTTCATTCTCACAACTATGGCGCAAGATAGGTATTATTTTGACTTCGGTTTAATGGATGAGGAAGGAAGTTGAGTATCTTACTCAGGACAGCACATACAGCATGGAAATGGTGGAGCTGGATCTGAGCAAAGTTTCTCAAGTCCTCTGTTATTTCCACTTAATAATTCACCTTTGTGGAGGCCTGGCTTGGTGGCTCACGTATGTAACCCTAGCACTTTGGGAGGCTGAGGTGGGCAGAGATCATCTGACGTTGGGAGTTCGAGACCAGCCTGGCCAACACAGTGAAACTCTGTCTACATTAAATTACAAAAATTACCTGGGAGTGGTGGCATGTGCCTGTGGGCCTGGAGCTGTTTGAACCCAGGGAGGCGGAGGTTGCAGTGAGAAGAGATGGTGCCACTGCCCTCCTGCCTGGGTGACAGAGTGAGACTCAAAAAAAAAAAAAAAAAGCCCCAAAACAAGAGATATATGTCAGAGTTTTGTTTTTAGTTGGTATCTATTTACTACGTTACTTTAGGAGACAAAGGAATTATTGGTTAAGTAAATTTCAGGAAGTAGAGTTTTGGCTTCATTTGACAGATATTTGCTTGAATATGTAATTTTTACATCTTATTTCAGAAGAATAAATAAATTACAGGTCTCACATATCCAACTAAAGTTAAAACTTGATAACCAAGCAAACTTGGTTTTCTTAATGCTTAAACATTAGAGACTACAAAATACTGTTTTAATGTCATCATTTCAGGGTGATAGATTTGTCACTGTATGAAGTCTTACCAGTGAAACTGGCTTGTTAATCTTAGTTCTGAAACATCTCCTTTTTGCCTTTGAGATTTTTCCACCAGTTATTTTGAATTTGGAAAGGATTCTTAGTTCCCATAAACTACTGTAGATTACATCAAACTATGTGGATTTTATATATTTCATGGTAAGAGAACTTCATTTTTGTAACTAATGGAAGGAGAATCTTTTTTTTTTTTTTTTTTTTTTTTTTTTGTAGACGGAGTCTTACTCTGTTGCCCAGGCTAGAGTGCAGTGGTGTGATCTCGGCTCACTGCAACCTCTGCCTCCCGGGTTCAAGCCTCATCCTCCCAAGTAGCTTGAATTACAGGCGGCTGCCACCACACCCAGCTCATTTTTTTTTGGTATTTTTAGTAGAGACATGGTTTCACCATGTTGACCAGGCTGGTCTCAAATTCTTGACCTCAAATGATTTGCCTGCCTCAGCCTTCCAAAGTGCTGGGATTACAGGCTTGAGCCACCACACCCAACCTCATGCCAGGTACTCTTCTAAATGCTAGGGATACAGCAGAGTATAAACAAAGCCCTTACCTCATCAGTGACAGAGACAATCACTGCACAAATGAGTTGATAAAGCGAGTAATGTCTATTATGAAGTGCTATGCCCAAAAGTACTCTATCAATTAGGTAGATGTATGGCAAGAATCTGCAAATGAGTTTTGCAGAAATTTGCGTAAGGATATTGTAGACCAAAGTATTTTATTACAGCATCTACATTTTAATCAATTTTCTGTGTCTGTGGTGGGCCTAAAAGCCTTCATATACAACCTTTCATTTTAAATTGTTAATATGTACATGCAGAGAGTTATCTTTTAAAGAAAGACAGTGGTTTTTTTTAGAAGATAACTAGCTGCATGTACATATTAACAGCAATTAGAAAAGAAATGGAATGCTTCCTAAATTTGCATGTCATCCTTGTGCAGGAGTCATGCTAATCTTCTCTGTATTGCTCTAACTTTATCATATATAATGCTGAAGCAAGCACAGTAGTTTTCTGCGGTAAAAAGTTTTGAAATGACTTTTCCAGTAATGGGAATGTGTTGCAGTGGTCTAACCCATGATGAATTTATTTTTGTGATGAATAGTTTGCATTTGTGAACATAATATATTGGTTTTAAAAACTAAGACCCATTGTGCCCCATTTAGTGATAAGAAATGATGTTATCTTCTCAGATACTTAGTTTTTAAAGAGCAACCTAAAGAGATTATTGGATTATTTTCTGTAAATTTTGACATGGTACCTTCAAATTAAAACTGGAGCCAGCTGTGGTTGCTCATACCTGTCATCCCTGTACTTTGGAAGGCCAGGATGGGAAGATCCCTTGAGCCTGGGATTTCAAGACCAGCCAGGACGATGTAGTGAGATCTCATCTCTACAAAAAGTGAAAAAATTAGCCAGACGTGGTGGCACATGCCTAAATTTCTAGCTACTTCAAAGGCCAAGGCAGGAGGGTCATTTGGGCCCAGGAGTTTGAGGCTGCGGTGAGCTATGATCTGTCACTGTACTCAAACCTGGGTGACAGTTGGAGCGTATTGTATAGTCAGTGACTTAAGGTTCTGCGGGAAGGGAGACAGATTTTAGGCTTGGGTAAATGATGATGAGAGAATACTAGAAAGTCTGAGACATACAGGCAAGAATGAACCTAGCATGTTCAGGAAACTTCCTTCCTAGATCTAAGGATGCACACTGGACTTGGGAGTTAAGATTTAATGGCTCAAGTGAGGCCTTTCATACCAACACAAGTATGTACATCTCTCAGTATAGGTTTGTGAATCAAGTTGTTTTCTTTCTCTTCACTTTCTGTCTGTATAACTCCTAGTTCACATTGAAGTCTTACCTTGAACAGGCTGGTTCCTTGTTAGACATATTGCCAGCATTCTGAGTTCTTTATTGCCTTCCCCACAATATGGGTAATTGTTTACTGTTTATCTCTGCTGCTGGATTGTGTGCTCCCTGAGAAGAAAACCCATGCCTGTATTGATTGGACTTTATCTGTAGCACCTGGCTGCATAAATGTCGTTTATTTCTGAATATGTTTTCTTGAGGATTTAATTTGAACAATAGCTTGCATTGTTTTTCTCGTCACACCCATCACTAGAATAACCAAAGGAACATTGAGTAGTGAAAGAGCATGGAGGTAATCTCAAAAGTTGCTTTCTTATCTGTAAAATAGGAGCAGTGTTAGGATTAAGTGAGATGACACACAAATGCGTTATGTATTTACTTCATAGAGTCATTCATATTCCCATTTCTCATGAAGAGGAGATGTAGTGGAAAGAATATTCCAGCTGAGGATAAGTGATCAGTATTGTAGTGTTGGCTTTATTTTCGTCAGGAAATGTGGCAAATCATTCATTTCTGTGAAGCTCAGATTGATTCTTTTTCTTAAAAATGAGGGTTTTTGACAAAACAGTATAAAAAACTTTGGAGCTCAGATGCGAGGATACTGCTGTAGACTTGGCAAGTGCTTTAAATGTAGTTAAACAAATAGATAATATATTCTGTTCTTTAGACAAACCCAGAATATTGCCACGTGTGGCTTTGTTATTTTCAGGATCTCAAGGATATTTTAGGTAGGTTCTCCTGAGTTTAAAAATGACCATATTTCTTTTTTAAAAATTAGTTTTTTTTTGAAAATAGAGATGAGGTCTCGCTATGTTGCCTAGACCGGCTTTGAACTCTTGCACTCACGTGATTCTCTTCTTGGCCTCCCAAAGTGCTGGGATTGCAGGCATGAGCCACTGTGCCTGGCCAGAAGTCATTATATTTCTGTTTCATATTTATGGTGTGGTATTGAAATATCCGTTTGTGTTTATTTTCTGTAGGCTGTAACATTTTTAAAAGTAAAGATCAAGCCAGGCATGTTGGCTCACACCTGTAATCCTAGCACTTTGGGAGACCAAGGCGGGTGGATCACTTGAGGTCAGGTCCAGACCAGCCTGGCCAGTATGATGAAACCCTGTCTCTACTGAAAGTACAAAAATTGGGAACATGCCTGTAATCTCAGCTACTTGGGAGGCTAAGACAGGAGAATAGCTTGAACCCGGGAGGTGGAGGTTGCAGTGACCCAAGATTGTGCCATTGTACTCCAGCCGGGCCAACAGAGCAAAACTCCATCTTACAAAAAAAGTAAAGATTGGGTCTCATTTATACTTGCAGAACTTACCTTCTGCACTCATACGCTACCTGTATTCATTCTCAGTAATTGGTTGAATTCAACTGAAAGTGGAAATACCTGATTGCATATTTCTTCTTTTTCAGTTTCATTAGTGTGGCTGATGAAAGAAAAGAGAACAGTTTTTTTTTGTTTTGTTCTGTTTTTTACTTTGAGACAGGGTGTTGCTCTGTCTGTCACTCAGACTGAAGTGCAGCGTATCATCACAGCTCACTGCAGCCTCAAACTCCTGGACCCAAGTGACTCTCCGGCCTCAGCCTTCAAAATAGCTGGAACTGCAGGCATGCACCACCATGCCCAGCTAATATTTTCATTTTTTGTAGAGATGGGGGTCTCCCTGTGTTGCCCGGGCTGGTCTAGAACCCCTTAGCTCAAGCAATCCTCCCACCTTGGCCTCCCAAAGTGCAGGGATTACAGGTGTGAGCCACCACTCCTGGCCATCATTACTTTTCATAAATACTTTTTAAAGTACCAAGATTAGCCGGGCATAGTGGCAGGCACCTGTACTCCCAGCTACTCAGGAGGCTGAGGCAGGAGAATCACTTGAACCCGGGAGGTGGAGGTTGCAGTGAGCTGAGATGGTACCACTGCACTCTAGCCTGGGCGACAGAGTGAGACCCTGTCCCAAAAAAAAAAAGTACCAAGAATAGATGAATTGGCAGTAGATTTTTTTAGTGTTTTAAATTAATCTTGGAAATTGTTATTTCAACATGTGTTTCGAGGTGTTGAGTCAAGAATGACTAGTCATTCTTGTCAGAAATATATACTGAAATCATTTGATAAGATCTTTTTCCTCAAAAAAAAAGATATTTTTCCTCAATATTTTCTTAATAAAGATCTTTTTATGATTTAACACCAAAAAACTCAAATGTAATTGCTTCTTTATAAAATGGGTCATAGTGGATTTTTTTAAAACATACCATCTTCGTGTATATACATTTTTAATGTCTGTAAAAAGGTAAACCTAAGTTCCTAGTGTAATTGTGTTGAAGTGAAATGTTTCTAGTGTTTGTGAAGGTATCAGTTGCTTTCTGATATTTTAAGCTGGGTGAAAAATGTGGGTGAAGTAATCTTAAAGAATGATAGATTTGATATGAGAAATTTAATGTGCTCAGTTCATAGTGGTGATAAAAGAAGGTAGCCAACTTGTTTCCCACAGACTATATTTCATCATTGTTGCATAAAGTCCCTTTTGGCCAATTTAGTGAATGTTGTTGGGTCTTCAGGAAAAAAAATAGTTTGCTTTAACTGGAGAAATAATTGTGGGGATAGAAGGTAGTCTTTTTCTTGATGATAAAAATTCATTTTAGCTTTTTAAATTACAGTGATAATAGCTTGTAATAATAGTGATAATATCTTGGTTTTGGCTAATGATTTTTAGTGTGCTTCCAGTTAACTTTTTAAAAATTATTTTAGTGTGACAAAGCCATATATTTTACTTGCCTTAAAAAATCCTACTTAAGGTTCTTACTAAAAATGATGAGCATTTACTATGTGCAAAGCACTAACTAGGTTTAGGAGTTTAATCTGAACAGAGCTTTATAGGTGACAGTGCAGATTTACTGGAACATATGGAAGCAGAATTCCTTCCACCTTAGATGAATAGGAAGGGCTTTAGGGAAATGTGACTTATTTATAACACACACACACAAAACACATGTAATAGACACTTGCCTTCACTTTTTTCCCCCTAATTGTTTGAGTTTAAAGAAAGCAAAACCAGGTGGCCTTACAGAATCTGATGTGTCTAAATTCCTTAATCCTGTTTAAGATCAGTTTTATGATGTAGTCTTTGTTCTTCGTAAGTGGAAAAAGTTACTACTCCATTGCTCTGGGAAGGAGCATTTGGAGTTGAATGTTATGTTGTGGTTGTTCTGCTCAAATCCGTTTCAGTGGACTAAGTTGTAAATTTGGGACAATTTCTTTCTACCTGAGGACAGTGTTGCTTTCTATGACTGACCTTGAATTAATTTTATGAAGCTAATCGAGTTGTAGTAATCAAATTTAATAGTTTATCTTGTTAGTAAAACTATCTGCCTGAATGGGTCAAATTTTATGTAGATATTAAATATCTCTTTTGTGTTATGCACCATGAATGTACAAAACCAAATAACTTTTGCTTGTGTGCTACACTAGTTGAAAGTTTTGCATACTAGATGAAAATGTCAGCCTGGTGTGGTGACTCATGCCTGTAATCTCAGCACTTTGGAAGGCTGAGGAGGGAGGATCATTTCAACCCAGGAGTTTGAGACCAGCCTAGGCAACATAGTGAGATTCTATTTCTCTTCCTGTGTCCCCCCAAAAAAGCCAGATGTGGTGGTGCACACCTGTAGACCCAGCTACTCAGGAGGCTGAGGTGGGGGAATCGCTTGAACCTGGGAAGTTGAGGCTGCAGTGAACTATGGTTGTGCCGCTGTACTCCAGCCTAAGCAACAGAGTGAGACACTGTCTCCAAAAAAAAAAAGGTTTTTTTTTTTTTTTTTAGCTGCACTAAAGGAGTGTTAATGCCACTTTGATGCATACTGTAGGCTGTATTTCAGTTATTTCTTAAATCAGTAATTCATTCAGGTTTCTCCTTTGAATGCATAGTCGTATGACAGGTTTTTTTTTTTTGGCATTACTGTTTTGCACTTGTTTGACTATCAGCAAATACCGTTTTGTTTCTTAGTTTCTCTGAAAGAAAAAGATACCAATAACACTTATTAGAGTTGTTGTAAGCATTACAGAGTTAATACATAATCAACATTGTCCCAGTTATTACAGCTGCATGACAGCCCTTTTCCAACATTTGGTGGTTTAAAACTGCAGC